GCCCTGCTCTGAGCCTGACCAGGGGCTGCACTTAGGGATTGGGCCTGCCCTCTGCCACCCGGGAGCAGGCCTAAGCCAGCAGGTCGTTATCTCCCGAGGGGTCCCAGACTGTGAGAGGGCACAGGCCGGGCTGGGGGACCCCCCTCCCCCCGCCCCCCGACTGCACAAATTTTTGTGCTCCGGGCCTCTAGTAATAATAATAATAATCTTAGAGTAGTACCAAATCTGATATCCACAATTCCACAATCCCAAATCTCAGAAACTCAAAAGTTTCCTTTCCCCTCCTTTTCCCTTCCCCTTCCCTTCCTTTCCTTTCCTTTCTTTTCCTCCCTCCCTCCCTCCCTTCCTTTTCTTCCTTTTAAAAATATTTTTTAAATTGATTTTTACAGAGAAAGGAAGGGAGAGGAATAGGAAAATAGAAACATCAATGAGAGAGGAACATCATTGATCGGCTGCCTCCTGCATGCCCCACTGGGATCGAGCCCGCAATCTGGGCATGTGCCCTGACCAAGAATCGAACTGGTGACCTCCTGGTTCCCGGGTTGACACTCAACCGCTGAACCACACTAGCCAAGCTCAAAGTTTTTTCTTAACTACTTGTGTAGTAAAACCTGGCTGAGTCCATTTAGTTATTATTTACCCATTATAATATGAACAGCTGCAGGTTTCACTGCAGAAATAGTACTGATTATGCAATGCTGCCATAAACCTCCTAGGAGTGAATATTACATAGCAAACTAGAGGCCTGTTGCACGAAAAGATTCGTGCAATAGGCTTTCCCTTCCCCTGGCTGCCGGCAGTGGTTTTCCTCCGGCACCCGGGACCCAGGCCTTCGCTCCAGTTGGAGCCGCCTTCAAGCCTTCGCTGCCCCACCCGGCCGCCCCAGCCGGGTCACACATGGAGCGCCCGAGGGCAGGCGGGATGGCGCTGTCCCGCCCCACTGCCCCGGGTGGCAAATAGCAGGCCTGGATGGCAGCGGGGCAGGCAGAATGGCGCTGTCCCACCCTGCCTGCAGTATGCAAATTAGCCGCCATCTTTGTTGGTGGTTAATTTGCATATCACCCTGATTAGCCAATGGGAGGCATAGCAAAGGTATGGTCAATTACCATGTTTGTCTATTATTACATAGGATGTAATACAGTAAACTATATCCCCAGGATTTCAGATAAGGAAATATAGACCTTTAATTGTCACTGTATATTATTTACTAAGTGTCAGGTACTATAGTATTATTTCATTCAATCCTCTCAAAAACCCAGTAAATTTGATCTTACGCAAGATCACCTAATGTGCCAAATAGTAGAGGCAATATTTAAATGCAGGTTTATCTGAGTCAAAGCCTTAACCACTTTTGAAAGTTGAAGAAAACACTGAAAGTGAGTTTCTTCAAAACACAAGAGAGAACAGAGGTGAAAAAATTATTTTAAAAATTTAGTATTTGCTGCTTCACTCCTTCCAACAAATAACATTATCATCATCTATAACCTTGGTCATTTTCATATGTATAGCTGAGAAAACACAGGTATCCCAAAGAAGGTACTTCTAAGTGGGGTTTTTTCCCTCTACCCTTAAAGTACAGGACTTTCATTATTTATCCTGTTACTTATATACCACCTTTTAGCAAAAAAAAATTTTCTATAATCCTGATTTTGCCATGCTTTAAGTTCAGTAAGTATGTCTTCTGTATTCATCTAAATAAGTGCTTCTCAAATAAGGGTGATTTTGCCCCTCTTCTGTGCCCCCACCTCAGGGGACACCTGGCAATGTTTGGAGATGTTTTTTGTTGTCACAACAAAGGGCACGTGTGTGTGTGTGTGTGTGTGTGTGTGTGTATGTTTGTGGGTTTTTGCTACCAACATCTGGGTAGAAGCCAGGGATACTGCTAAACATCCCAAAATGCAGAAGACAGCCCTTCACAATAAAGAATTCTCTGGCTCAAAACATCAACAATGCCAAGATTTGTATCACTGATGAAAATGCTGAACAAGAATGAACAAAATATTGAGATTAAAGAGATTACCAAGATGATTAATGAGTAGTAAATATTCTTTAAGCTGGGAACTCCTGTTAATACTTTATTATTCATCCAACATCTGAAGTCAGACATTTTAAAATTCAGTTAGTAGAAAAACCATTTTCATTTAAAAATATAACAGGTCATTTAACAATGAACAAATGGAAAAATTCGGTCACATAGATTAAAATTTTTTTTCCCCACTGAACTGACTCCCAAAATGATTTTACAAATGATAGATCATCTTAACTTAGCAGACTGCATTAAAGTCTGTTACAATTAAATGTTAAGATATCACTCTGAAACTTGTGAACAAATATTCCATATCTCAGTAGCAATTAAATGAAATAAAATTAAAACAAAATATTATTTTAACCTTTAAAATGGGTAAAAAAAATTTTGTTTTTAATACTCACTTGAGGATATTTTTCCCATTGATTTTTAAGAAAGAGTGTGGAAGGGAGGGAGGAAGAAGGAAGTGAGGGAGAGAGAGAGGGAGAGAGAGAGAGAGAGGAAGAGAGAGAGAGAGAGGAAGAGAGAGAGAGAGAGAGAGACACAGTGGTTGCCTCCCACACACACCCCAACCAGGCCTGGGATCCAACGCTTCAACCACTGAGCCAAACTGGCCAGGGTGGTAAAAGTGTTTTTAAAAAGAGACAACTCAGTAACTCAGTACTAGTAAGATATTTACACAGATATTCTCATATAGTACTACCAACGGAAATAAAAACTGGTTTAACCCTAACTTACTGCTAGCCCCACTTTATAGATGAGGAAATTGAGGCACAAGGCAACTAGGTGCATTAACTTAAGACCACATAGCTAGGAAAGGCTGATGAGAGAAATTTGAACTCAGGCAGACTGGTCTAGTTTGTGCTCTTAACCACTCCAATTTTACTATCTCTGTGTTTTACAGACTTTTTTTTTTTTTTTTTTACAATTATTTAACATGTATCAAAACGGAAGGCAAAATTAAAGGATAAACAGACTGATGAAAATGTTCAAATGTATGTAACAGAGCAAGAAGAGATATAAATAGGCACATCTGAAAAGAAATAAAAATTTAAGAGATCAGCCTCTCTAATGATCACACAGACAAAAAAAGTTTAAATATTCAATTAAAGTACAATACAACTAAGATATGTACTCTGATACTATTTTTGATGAAGGTACAAAGTGGTACATTTTTAGGGAAAACAACTTGGAGTTTCTCTAAAAAGTTTAAACCCATGTAGTCTCTGACCCAGTAATTCTGCTTTCTAGGAACTAACCCTACAGAAAAAGTCACATAAGCAACTGAAAATAATCTATTCAATGATATTTATTACAACATTATTTGTAACAATTACAAACTAGAAATAAGCTAAATGTGCATGAATATGGGAATAATTAAATTATTATACAGTAGTCATAGTTGGAACAGACAACTTAAAAATAATGAGGCAGATTTGCATTAACAAGAAAAGCAGTCTATACTATATTTACAAAAGGAAAAAGACTAGCTGGAGAAAAATAAAAAGTGTGTGCCTTTATTTTTGTGAATGCACAAACCAGTCACCTTAAATTTCAAACAAATTATGTCAATTTCCAGACATTTTAGTTTCAAAATGTACAAAGGAATCATCTCACATTTAATAAATAGAAGGCATTACTTTACTTCTGGAAGCCAACCAGGAAAAAGGAAAACCACCTTTACAAATATTTATGACTTGAAACATACAAAAAAAAATAAAACATGTTGAAAAGGTAGAAGGTTTAAATAATAATCTGATGGTCTGTCTTTTAAATTTATGGAGTAGTAAAATTGGAAGGAATCTTAGATTTTACTTAGTACAACCCCCACATCTTACAGATGAGGCCTAGAAAAAGGAAGTAATTTGTACAAGTTCTTACACATACTAAGAGAATGAAGAAGGGACTCAGTTTTTTTTTGTTTTTACTCTAAATCCAGAATCTTGACTTTTGAAAGGTATTACCCAATAATTTAGTGGGCTACTTAACAATATCCTGAAATCCTTACAGTACTCTGTACTATTGGGGCCTTTTTGATCTAGCACTTTCAGAAAGCAGCAAACTAATCTCTGTTGTATTACCTGTATTCACATTCACTGCAGAGTAAAAGTTTCCCAAGTCTTTTTCTTTCTCATCACGGGCTCTCAAATGAAATCTTAAGTTTCTAAATGCTTATTTCCAATTTGTATAGTCATCTTTTCATAGACCAATAACAAACAGCTCAAAGACCACACTACTGGTACCTCTATATCAAACTAAACCTTAAAAAATGTTCCTGATAAAATCAGAACACCAGATAGACTAAGGAAGAAGTTAGAAACTTACTTCTTATCGAAAAATGTTGAATTTTCTTTCCTCTTGGTGAACCCATTGGGTAGAAGTTTTAAGTTAATACCTTGCCTTCGAGCACGATTTTTTATAAAGCACATCTAACAACAACAAATAAAGACAAATTAATTTTAAAATTCCTTAAATTTCAAAAGTGAATAAAATAACGTTTAAAATATAATAGTTAAGATTTATTGAATGCTTATATTTTACCAACTGCTAAGCAATACTGTTGTTTAATACTCACAATACTATGAGGTAGGTATTACCATTACCCCCATTTTAGCAGTGAGAATTCATAAGATGCCAACATTATACAACTTTTTTAAAAAAAACCACATTTTATTTTTTTAATTCTCATCCAAGGACATTTTTCCATTGATTTTTTAGAGTGGAAGAGAGAGGGAAAGACAGAGAGAAATAGCAGATGTGAGAGAAACACATCCATTGGTTGCCTCCTGCACGTGTCTGACCAGGGTCTGGGGCAAGGAGGAGCCTGCAACCATGGTATGTGCCCTTGATTGGAATCAAACTCAGGACCCTTTGGTCCACAGGCCGACGCTGTAGCCACAGAACGAAACTGGCTAGGGCTATACAACTATTTCTGAGAGAGCCTGTATTCAAACCCAGGTCTGTGTAATTCCAGAGCCTGTGCTTTTACCCATACACTCTATAAGCCAAGAGAAGGATTAAAAAAAAAAAAAAAGACATTTGACAATCATAGGTGTTACCTATATAGTTCTTTCTCTTTTACTGATTTTTTGTTGTTAATCCTCACCTGATTAGATAAAGTGATTTGGTAAACAAGGTAGTGGGAAACACTCAATAGGTACACCAAAAAAAATTGTTTTAATGAGGACAGTTTAATGGACCTGTGGGATAACATCAAGGGTAACAACATTCACATCATAGACATATCAGAAGGAAAAGAGAGAGCAAGGGATTAAAAACCTATTAGATGAAATAAGGGATGAAAACTTCTCTATCTTGGCAAGGAAATAGACATATAAGTCCAGGAAGTGCAGACAGTCCCAAACAAGACAAAATTAAAGAGGCCCACACCAAGAAACATCATAATTAAAATCCAAAAGGCTAAAGGAAAAAAAAAATCTTAAAGGCAGCAAGAGAAAAGCAATTAGTTACCTAAAAGGGAGCTCCCATAAGACTGTCAGCTGATTTCTCAACAGAAACTTTGCAGGCCAAAAGACACTGGCACAAAATATTCAAAGTAACGAAAAGCAAGGATTTACAACCAATATTACTCTACCCAGCAAAGTAATAATTTAAAATGGAAAGAGATAAAGAGCTTCCCAGATTAAAAGAAAAAAAAAACTAAACGAGTTCATCACCGCGAAACCATACAACAAAACAAATTTTAAAGGGACTACTTTAAGAAGAAAAAGATTTTAAAAAATGAGTAATAAAATGATGGTAATATATTCCTATCAATAATTAACTTTAAATGTAAATGGTTACATGCTTTAATCAAAAGACATGAGGTGGCTGAATGGATAAGAAAAAAAAACTATACATATGCTGCCTACAGAGACCCACTTCAGATCAAAAGACACAAAAACTGAAAGTAAAGGAATGGAAAATAATATCTCGTGCAAATGGAAACAAAGAAAAAAAGCTGGGGGAGCAATAGTTCTATAAGACAAAATAGACTTTAAAACAAAGGCCATATATAACAAGAGAGCAAGAAGGGCCCAGCAATGCCACTTCTGGGTATTTAACCAAAGAAAGCCAAAACACTAATTTGAAAAGACAAATACATCCCTATATTCACTGCAACATTTATAATAACCAAGATATGGAAGCAACCTAAGTGTCCATCAATTGACAACTGGTAAAGAAGCTGTGGTGCATATATACAATGAAATATCACTCAGCCATAAAAGAGTGAAATCTTGCCATTTGTGACAACTTGGGTGGACCTAGAGGGTATTATGCTAAGTTATATAAGTTAGAGAAAGACAAATACCATATGATTTCAAACATATGTGTAATCTGAAAAACAAAATAAACAAACAAAAAAACAGAAACAAACTTACAGATACAGAGAACAAACTGTTGGTTGCGAGGTGGGAGGGGGTGTTGGGGAGCTCGGTGATAAAGGTGAAGGGATTAAGTACAAATTGGCAGTTACAAAATGGTCATGGGAGGTAAAGTACAGCATAGGAAATATTAAAAAAAACATTGTAATAAGTCTATAACTATGTTGTCGGGGGGTGCTAGACTTATCAGGGGGATCACTTCATAAATTATATAAAAGTCTAACCACTATGCTGTACATCTGAAACTAATATAATATTGACTGTCACTTGGAATTAAAAAATAAGAAATATTTTAAAAAATAAAGCCAAATATATAGGCAATTTTATCAAAATGTAAATGAACTTAGTGATTCAGTTAAAAGTTACAGTTGTCAAACTATAGAAAACCATGGTACTTAGAAAAGACATAACCAGAACATAAGGATACTATAGTAAAAGTAAGGGGAAAAAAATCACACTATGCAAATACCAAGCAAAGGACTGTTTCCTGAGATATACATCTAATAATTTAGCCTTCAAGTACTAACTGAACCATAAGGGGAAACAAACAAATCCTTTTGATTTTATCTATTGGGAAATGTTAACCTACCTCTCTCTGGAACTGATTAAAAAAAATCTGTATCGTTATAAACAATTTGAACAATATAACTAATAAATCTAACCTAAAAGGAATATATAGACTATGTATTCAGCAATTGCAGAATACTTTTTATTTTTCAAGCAAACAGAACATTATAAAACATATCCACATGCTGGGTCATAAACACACATCTTAAATGGACAAATTCTTAGAAAAATGTAATACATTAACAATGACTCAAAAAGAGAGAAAACCTGACCAGTCCCATAAATAATAAAGAACATACCTCACTGGCTCAAACTCTAGCACATATTAGTTCATTAATAAATTTTACCAAATTCCCAAGAAAAAAATAATTCTAGTAATTAAGTCCAATAATCCAATGAATCAAAAATCAAAATGAAAACATTCCCAAATAATTTTATGAAACTAGAGTCATATAGATATGGAAACCTAAGGAAATACTAAAATGGAAAATTAGAGGTCAATCTTACTCATGAACAGAAATACAAAATTAATGAATGAATAATGTGTACACACACATATAAGACAAATGAATTCTGCAAAGTATAAAAGCATGCTTTGTTAAGATAATAACTCTTTGTAAGTTTAGCTTAAAATAGAAAACCAATTAAAGGTTTATGAAAAAATCTTTTAGCAAAGTAGAAATTCTTTAATGTAAATATAAAATTATTCTACAAAATTTAAAAGCAAACATCATGTTAAAATCTTGAAAGTTTTTTCTTTATGGTCAGGAGTTACAAAACAACCATGTACAGAACAATTAACATAGTGGGCCTGAGACTGTAATCCTTAAAAGGTTCTGCTTATAAGGTTGACCCTTGGCTGGTGTCTGGGAATTTGACTTATTAGGAAACTAGAGGCCTGGTGCACGAAATTCGTGAAGTGGGTGGGGGGAGATGGGGTGTCCCTCAGCTCAGCCTGCGTCCTCGCAATCCGGGACCCCTCGGGTAGGGTCTCTAGGCCTACCCAGCAATCAGGGCCTATCGGGGCTTTCCTTCCCCCGGCTGCCGGCCCTGCCCCTGCTGCTGCCACTGCTTGCCATCTGCTGTTTCTCTCTCATCGATGTTTCTAACTCTCTATCCCGCTCTCTTCCCCTCTGTAAAAAATCAATAAAGTATATATTTTTTAAAAATAAGTAAAAAAATAAAGAGCACATGCAATTAGTAATAAAAAGAAGACAAATACAGTCACAGTACGGATATTAAAAGTACTAGGAACATACAAAATCAATTCAAAATTTTAATGAAATGGTAATTTTCTACAAAATTATAAATTACCAAAATTGACTGGAGAAAAAATTGAAAACATGAATAAATCAATAACTATGAAAAAAATAAAGGTTTCCTTCCCTAAAGACACTAAGCCAGGTGCATTTTAACAAACTTTCTAAAACCAAATATCTGTTCTTTTACATAAATTGTTTATGACAAAAGTAAAAGGAGAAAAGCTGGCTGGTCCAATTTGTAGGGCTAATATGCTATTGATACTCAAACTAGGCAAGGCCATTATATAAAACAGAAAACTACAAAGCAATTCCTATATGGACATAAAAGTAAAAATCCTTAATAAAATGTTATAAATTGAATTCATCAGGTATTAAATGTAATAAAAACACACACACATCATGTTCAAGTAGTACTTATTCCGGGGGTGCAAAGCTGTTTTAGTATAGAAAAAAAATCTATTAACCATATTGGTACATAATCAAATCATCAATGTAGGGGAAAATAATAATAGTGACACATTTATTTATTAACAAATTATTAATTAATAGTATTCATTTAGCATCGGCTTTATGCTAGGCATTGCCCCAGGCAAAGGGGATATAATAAGTAAGTAAACAGAAAAATTCCCTGCCTCATATATTTTAAATTCAAAAGGATGAGTCAGAAAATAATCAGATAGCTAAACTTTATAATGTGATATAATAACTGCTATTAAGAAAAACAAAGCATGCCTGGCCAGCGTGGCTCAGTGGTTAAGTGTCAGCTTGTGAAACAGGAGATCAAGGTTTGATTCCTGGTTGGGCACATGCCCAGGTTGCTGGTTCAGTCCCCAGGGGGAGCATGCAGAAGGCAGCTGATCAATGATTCTTTCATCATTGATGTTTCTATCTCTCTCTCTCCCTTCCTCTTTGTAATCTATGAAAATATATTTTTTAAAAGAAAAGAAAAACAAAGCAGGATAATGTGATAGGATTCAATGAAGAGTGCTATTTTGAGCAGATACCTGGATAAAGTGAAGAAATGAGACAAATACCTTTTAGTGAGCAAGCACATCAGGCTGTGAGAACTGTGAGTGCAAAGGCTCCAAGGTAGGAGTCTTCTTGGACTAAGGATCAAGGAGGAACATTTAGGAGTATGTGGGGCAGGTGTAAGGAGTGATAAGGGGGTTGGAGGGACTGAGCCAAAGATAGGAGGTAATATTGAAGAGATTGCTAGAACACAGATCATGTGCAGTGTTGTATGCCAAAATAAAGACTTCAGATTTAACTCTACATGTGATGGAAAACCTTGGAGAGTGTCCAGAAGAGGAGTGCTCTGATCTGTGTTTTAAGTTATCTCTCTGGCTGCTGTATAGAGAATAGTCTGTATTAGGGCAAGTATAACTGATATCAAAACTAGTCGAAGGGGAAGACCAGTTAAGAAGAATGTTAGTAGCCCAGACATAATGACTTGTGCCTTATACCAGGGTAGTGGCAATGGTGAGAATGATTAAATTGATTCCTGGACAAAATCTGGTTGCAAATATATTGCTCAGGGTTTCCCAGAGAAAGAGAGCCAATATAATATACTAGAGACCCAGTGCACAAAATTTGTGCACGGGAGCGTGGGGGTGCAGGGGTGTCCCTCAGCCTGGCCTGCAACCTCTCACAATCCGGGACCCCTCGGGTAGGGTCTCTAGGCCTACCCAGCAATCAGGGCCTATCGGGGCTTTCCTTCCCCCGGCTGCCGGCCCTGCCCCTGCCGCTGCCACTGCTTGCCATCTTTGTGGTGCTGCCCCCCCGCCCCCCCCGTCACCTCCCTCTGTGGGCAACAGGCGTAGGGTGTGATTGCTTGGCTGCGCTGCCACTGCTTGCCATCTTTGTGGTGCTGCCCCCCCGCCCCCCCCGTCACCTCCCTCTGTGGGCAACAGGCGTAGGGTGTGATTGCTTGGCTGGCCTGGGCCTCCCACTGCGGGGTGATCGCTGGTCGGCCCCGCACACCCACCCCAGTGTCGCTGTCCTGTGGCCTGGGCCTCCCTCTGTGGGGTGATCAATCGCAGGGCCCCCAGATCGATCGCCCCACAGAAGGAGGCCCTGCCACCCACCACAGTGCCGCCAGCCGGGTAACCTGGGCCTCCCTCTGCGGGGCGATTGTGGGGCGATGGCAGGGACCCCCGACCAATCGCATCACACCCACCTTGGCTGGCCTGGCAACAGTGCATGTCATAGCATGGTCGTCCAGAAATTCATCCAGATGGTCATTCTGCTGTTCAGTGGATTTGCATATTACGCTTTTATTATTATAGATGGTTCCCTAAACTGATATAAAACTTTTCTAAATGATAAAAATGGTTCACTGTGCCAAAATTGTTTGTATAAACAATGTGGATTATTTGCTTTCCTTCTGGGATTCTGGGATTTGGTACAAGCTGGGCAGAGGGTGCTTCTGCAATCAGCTCCCAATAAAAACCTTGCACAGTGAGTCTCTAATGGTGTTCCCTGGTAGACAATACTTCACATGTGTTATCACAGCTCACTGCCAAAGGAATTAACTATGTACTGTGTGACTCCAATGGCAGAGGATTCTTGGAAGCTTGTATTTGAATTACCTCAAATGCTTTTACATTTTGCTAATTTTACTCTGTACCCTTTCACTGTACTAATATAGCCATGAGTACAACTATATGTCGAGTCCTGTGAAATCCTTCTAGCAAAATCCTTCTATCAAGCTAAGGGTAAACTTGGGACTTGCAACATAAATATCTCCTGTTGTCACTAGTATCTGACATTGAATTGGAAGTCCTAGCTTTTTCAATAAGGAGAGAGAGAGAGAGAAAAGGAAAGGGAGGGAGAGAGAGAAGGTAGGGAGGGAGGGAAAGTGAGAGAGACAGAGATCAAAATATTAAGGATAAAAAGAAATTGTGATGAATTATTTACAGAAAAAAAACCCTAAAGAATTTATAGATAAGGTACTGGGATAGATTGTAATATGATTGCTCACTATAAAATAAACAATAACAAAAAATCATTCATAAATACCAGCAAAGAGATAGTAAAATTAAAATGCTATTTAAATTAGCATGAAAAAGTTGTGCCCAAGAATAAATCTAACAAGAAATGTGCAAGACCCCTACTGAGAAAATTAGAGAGATATTAAAGAAGGCACAAATAAATGCAGAGATACAACACAACCAAGGGTTTAAAGATTCAATGTTAAAAAGATGTCTCATCACTTAAGTTAGTCTATAAAATAAATGGAACCCCAATCAAAATGCTCAGGTTGGCGCAGGAAGAACTATAGAACCAACAGGCTGATTTTTCCGATTTATAGAGAATTACAAAGAATACAGCAATACTCTAGAAAATGAACAAAGAGGGAGGAGTTACTCTATCAGATAGCAAGTTTCAATAAAAACAAATAAACAAAAAATTACAACAACAACAAAAAACACACACTGTTACAATAATTGGTGTGGATAGACAAGTGGAACAGACAGCCAGAAACTGACCCAAGCAAATATGGATGCTTGATATATGACAAATATGGTCTTGCAGAGCAATAATGAAAAGATGAACTCTTCAATAAATGGTGCTAGAAAAAGTGGATTACCCATATGGAAAATTAAATGGGACCTCCACTCCCCATGTTACATAAAAATTAATTCCAGGTAGTTTACAGATATAAATGTGAGATGAAACACTAAAAGCTTTTAGAAAATAACTATGGGAGAACAACTTATAACTTCCAGGTTTTTAACTTACAACTTCCAGGATTATAAAAGCATCTACACTAATAAAAGAGAAACATGGTAATAACTTCCAAGTTTATAAAAGCATTTCTTTTATAAACACATAAAACTAACTGTGAACGAAACATGATAAATTTGACTACATTAACATCAAGAACATTTATTCACCACAAGACACTATAGAGTGAAAAAAACCCCAAAACCAAAGTATGGAATAATATATTTATAGCACAGACAACCGACAACCAGCATCCAAGAAATACAAAGAATTCCTAAAAACCAGTAAGAAGAAAGTTGGTCAATGAAAAGATGAGCAAAAGCCTTAAACAGGCATTCCACAAAAGAGAAAATCCAAATGGCCAATGAAATATTTGAAAGGTGTTCAATCTCATTAGGAATCAGAGAACTGCAAATTAAAAACCACAATAAGATTATGCAGCCATCTAATGGACAAATTTTTTTTAAAAATACATTTTTATTGATTTTGGAGAGGAAGAGAGAGGGAGAAAGAGATAGAAACATCAATGATGAGAATCATTGATCGGCCGCTTTCTGCACACCCCAGACTGAGGATCGAGCCCGCAATCCAAGTATGTGTTCTGACTGGAATCAAACCCTGATCTCCTGTCACAGGTCGACACTCAACCACTTAGCCACACCAGCTGGGCGACAAAATTTTTAAACTTTGACCACATCAAATATTGGACAGGATGTGACAATAGGGACATTTACACTCTACTGGGAGCTGGTATAACCACTTTGGAAAATGTTTTGGTAACACCTAGTCAAACTGAAGAAATGTACACCCCACAACAAAGCAATTCCACTCCCAGATATAAACCCCAGGAAAACATGTGCACATGCAAACTACAATTCACAAACAAATTGTTCATAGTAGCATTGTTTCTAATTTTTGTCTTTTGTTATTACAGAAAACTCAAAGTCTACCAAAAAAAGAATGGATAAATTGTGGTACAGTCTTAAACTAGAAAACTATTCAGAAATAACAATGGATTAGAGAAGGGCACAAGGGGGGGGGGGGGGCAGGGAACTTTTGAGAAGCAGGTGAATGTTCTAATTTTAGACTTGAATGGTAATTAGAGGGATGTTAACTTTATAATTAGTCATTAAGCAGTGTATTTCGTTTATGCTTTTTTATGTGCATGCCATACTTCACAATAAAAAGAAAAAAATTAAAGAGTAATTTATCTTTTAAGTAGAATTCTAATTAAGCTTAAGGAAAAAAGTTGATGCACGATAATCTTTCTTTCAGATACATGTAATGTCATGTCTGTACTAAAAACACCAATAAAACGTGTTTAAAAGGTATTAAAATCCTGCAACTTCAATATTAAAATAGTGTCTGAAAAAATGAGCATAATTCCATGACATGATTTAATATCATTAAAGAATTTCTGGAACAATAGCAGTTGCAAAATATTTCAAACATGTAAGCTTTAATTTTGAATAGTGCTCAATGAATGAAAAAAGGATGAACCCTGGCTGGTGTATTGAAATAGCAAGTCCTATTAGCTATTCCTTTAAATCCATAATCTAATTGCTTCCTAATAATTCCAATAGCATAGCATTATCATCCCGTATCTGAAGCAACTGCCTTTAAACTGGTCTCACTGCTTCCAATCTCCCACTCTTACCAGCTAAAGTCCATTTTCCAGACAGGAGTAAGAGTGATCTTTCTAAAAGCAAACACTCTCAGAACCTTCCTATGCCTTCTAGCTTCACTCAGAATAAACTAGAATGAAAGTTCAACATTCTCACTTCAGTTGCTTTGCCCTTATTTTAATTCTTCAAACACACCAGCCTTGTTCCTGACTATCTTTACTTTTGTCTCTAACTGGTATAGTCTTCCTCCAAATGTTCACAAGACTGCCTCTTTCTCATCATTCAGATCACCACTTAAATGTCATCTCTAAAAGCAGCTTCTCCTGACGCCTGTATCAAAAATAGTACCCTCACAACCTCTTCCCAACAAACAGTATTCTCATTTTCTTTAACCTCCTGTGCCTTCTTTATTTTCCACATGCACTTAATTCCACCTGAAATTAAATATTTTTTCTACTCAACTTCTGTGTCTCCCCTTATAATACAAGTTCCATGAGGTGAAGGCCTTTGTTTTGGTCAGTGCTGTATCCCTAGTAACTGCAATAGACTTCAGACCATAGTGGCCACCTAATACATTTTGTTGAGTGAAAAAAATGAATCTAATTAATTAAAAGGAATTCTAACTGGAAAAGATTAGAAGAAATACTTACATGTTTATTGCTTAATGATCTTTTCAATAAAGCATCTCTGGAAATATGGTCTGCTGTTCTTGCCACATCTTCCAAAAATCGATAATCTAAAAATTTCAAAACAGAAAAATAACCAAACGGCATATAGCAATGGCCAGGAAGCATCAATCTGCTACGCATAAGAAGGCTTACCACTTAGGAGATCCATTTCAGTAAACTGTTGTAATGAAACATAGGCAGTTTTATCTCGAACTCCATTACATGTCAGTTCTGCTTTGTGTTTCTTTACACAGGGCAAACTAAAGAGAAAAGAGGAGGCATTTTTATATTTTGAAGTAACAATGGTACAGATAGAGATGATAAGGTAGGAAATTATCTATAACAATAAAAGGGTAATATGCTAATGAGACCAGACGTCTTCTGGACATCCTTCCTGACGAAGCTGGGGCCAGAGGGAAGCTAGCCCGGGTCCGGGTGCCGCCAGGCCAGTCCCTCCCCAGCTGGCCAACCTCCCACGTCCCTCCTGGGCCTCGATCATGCACTGGTGGGGTCCCTCAGCCTGGCCTGTTGCCCTCTCACAATCCAGGACCCCTTGGGGGATGTCAGAGAGCCGGTTTCAGAGGGACCCCACTGGTGCACAATTTTCATGATTGGGCCTCTAATTATATATATATATATATATACATACACACACACACACACATACCTGCAAGAATGCCGCATACAACGTGGACATCTGTACTTGGCTTCTTCTGTACCACAAGTTTCACATCTACAAAAGCGCACAAGAAACGTAGTACATTATCAATTATTAATTCTACTTATTTGTTTATAAAATTTTAATCTGAGTCAATTACTCATCACAATCAATTTACAGACATAGTGAATAAAATATATGAAAGTAACTCTGACAAAATACTCAACAGCTGTCAAACATTGTTAGAAAATTCTCTTCTAGGAAACTGTCCCCAAATGACTACATTTACAGTATTGTTAGCTATATGTAACTCAAGAAAATATGTATTAGATTTGTTTAAAAAAATCATCTCACTTTTGACTTCTTTTACTACTATCATCAGAGAAAGAGATGAATCAATGGCATTTTTAACTTGTAATTCCTGGCAATCTCTTAACGATGGTGTGTGTGCTACATCCAGAAGTTCAATCCATGAGTTATGTTTAGATATATTAGAGGCTCACACCCCAGTAAAACTGTGTAAGACTCAGTCCAATTCGGAGAACAGCAGTTGAATCTTTTTCCTCAACTACACACCCAACCTGGAATAGGCATCAGAATAACCTAGGCCTGCTATTACTACCTGTCTTCACCTGCTATTCTAGGACCGACTGCGTTCTAGATAGTGAAAGTCCCAAGAATCTGATCACTCTTTACTTCCTATGTCACATGACCACACACAACTGGAAAAACAAATAAAAATAACGAATAGTCATGGTATCCTTAGAACACGAAACAACTGGATGCGTTTAAGTGCATTGTTGTATGATTTTAACTTAACCCACTTTGTCATTGTTAGTTTGATTAGCCTTTTCCTCACCTCTATCCCCCCCTCAAACCAATACCGAGTCAAGGGCACATTAAGTCCAGCGAGAACCTGGTCCAGGGGTTTTCTGGTCCCCAGGATTTCCATCTCCTGACTTGCTCACGAGGCACCATCAACCTCACATATTTTCATTGAATTTGTTATCCGACAAGACCCTCCAGCCCCAATTCCTCGCTCCCCACTCCCACGACCCGGGTTCCAGGGACCCAACTTGTTCCCGAAGCCCTACCTTGACATGGCCAGTTTCCGCTTCGAGCCCACGGGGCAACTAATCTGCGGCTCTTCTTTCACCTTCGTGTCATCCAGCATTTCTTCCTTCGGGAAATACTTTTCTTCTTTCACACACACCTCATCCATCGTCTCTTCCTTTATGTTCTGAGCAAACACCATCTCTTCCTGTTTTATCTCCAAGTTATCTTTCCTCTCTTCCTTCACTTCTGGCCAGTCCATCACCTCTTCCTTCACCTTCACTTTCTCTTCCTTTATCTCTGGACCATCCACCTTCTCTTCTTTCACCACCACACCGCCGTCCGCCTCCTGCTTCACCTCCCAGGTGTCCGGTTTCTCCTCCTTCACCTCGGGCCCGTCCTCCACCTCCTGCTTTATCCACCGGCCGCCCAGCACACCTTCTTCCATTTCCGACCAGCTCATATCTTCTAGCTTCACAGCCGTTGGAAACACCCGCGTTTCCTCTGCCCTCTGCGCACCCGCTTCTTCTCCATCCCCTATTTTCTCCATTCCTGTCAGCCCCTTCCCCGCCTCCCCCGCGCTGG